ATTCACAAATTATTCCTCTTTTTATTTTTAAGAAATTTCATACAAATACTTTACTCCTAGGATCTTACCTCTCATTAACATGTTGGCAAATAATTATAGAAAAAAATACTTAATACAGATACCAAATATAAATAATATTTTAAAAAGAGTAAACTTAGGTAATTTGTTTCTCTGAGTCTGACTTTACTTGTTTTATGTGGAACATAAATTAAATCAAATTAAATGCTGTTATTAGACTTAACGTTACTTAGATCTTGTAGATGTCACAAGTTGATCGTGTCATTTGCTCAAGTCTGTTGACACCAATAAATTGAGCTTAATGAGGCAATTTGCAGATCTAACGACATAATTAATGAGGTGAAAACATGATCTATTGACATGAAATAAAAAGGCTTTTCAACTGTTTTGATAATAGAGATGATCCCACTATCATCAACATTCGACAAGCCAGGACCAGCAGCAGATCATCTCACTTTAAGTATTTGCTGCTAGAAACAGATTGTTGACTGTACTGAAAGAATAAAATTGGTCTAATATTAAAATATTATTTCTCAAATGATACAGTAAAATTGCAGGAACATAAATACTAATGAATCCCATCTTTATCAAACATTGTAATTCGCCGATATGAATAGTTAATTTTCTAATAACTACATTCATAACAAAGCCGTTCGCTAGCCGTTTTGTATGCGAGAACACATTCACGTCTTATTTAAGTGTTTTAGTTAGCACACACGAAGAGCGCTGAACATGATAGAAGCCATTTAGAAACGACCGCGTAAAATGTGTTTTTAAACTGTGTAAAGAGTTTTTAACACTTACTTGATCGCGTGTACTATTCTTCTTCTTCCTTTTATTGGCGATTCGCATCGATTTCGTGCATTACCCCAGGCATTACCGCCACCTACTATTTCACAAAATGGCCGCCGAAACGGAAGTAGGGTAAACTTTTTTCCGGTGACAGCGCTAGCAGCAGTGTTGCCAAGTCCGCTTATTCTAAGCGACTTTGGGCTTGTTTTTCTCCAGTCCAGGCTTTGATTACATCTCCATAAGCAGCAGGGTGAACCTTCCGACCCATTCAAACTAAAATTAAGACATTTATTACACTAGCCTATTTGACAGCCTTAAAGATGAACTGAACTGAAAAAAATCGACGATGAAAACGTGTTGTTTATGACAATTAAAAGTAAATTACACTAAACATTTTAATAAAAAATATTAATATAGCTTTTTATAAGCAAAGCAAAATTGCGCTTGTTAGCGCTGGCAATTTTGATGACGTCACTGGCATGGTAGGACCCGCGGAGCTCTATAAACAATAGCTGCAGGTCCCATATACACAGACGAAAATGAACACTTTTAACGGCATGGATTACGCATTTGAGCCCGCGAGGGACAGGCCGGTAGTGTCTGACTACCACCACATGGAGGACGATCAGTTTTAGGCTTCACTTACAGTATATAAGTCGTATACAGGATCGTTTGGGGAGAAGTGACTGTGGGCGCGAGCGCTGTGGAGTATGCATACTGCACAGGAGTCGATCTTTTGCAGAGAGGTCAACCTGGAACATTTATTGATCGGCGAAAAAAGGAATCACCGTCGTGCACCGTTCATTTCGGATGCTGTTCGGTGAGAGAAACGTGTTGGAGGAGGCTACGCTGTCTCTAATGGATGTCCGAGCTGAGACGCGAGCGCCCCATCAGTAACAGGGTATTTTACGAATAGGCGACGGCTGGGCTAACTTGTTATACTTTTCTCAGACTGTTTAGATTAACAGCGTACTGGCAGTTCATTCTATGTGCGAGGGTGCATTTAGAAAGGAGAATCCCATCCTTTACCGTGAACTATACATCAGGAATCTTTTCCCCTCAGCCGAATATCAAGGATTCGTGTAACGTTAACGTGATGTGTTGAACTTGTAACTTGTGTAGCTAAATAAAACATTTAATGCAGACATTGTCAGACGTTTCATGTACTCATTGACGAAAGTACATATCTCTAGATAGTGTGTCGCTAAAAATTCTGTTTCTTCAGCCATGTCAGCGCGCCTCAGACTGTTTACAAGCTACGGCTGTTCTGCTGGTGCGGGTAGGCAGCGGAGTGGCTTACCATGCCAGTGACGTAGTCGAATGTTGAAATCCAACATGGCGGCGCCCGTGTAACAAAAACAACACTTTCAATGTACCATTTTATCCCTTTTAACAAATTCTGCCATTTTAAAAATTGTACCAATGATAATTAATACAATACATCTGTTATGTCACCTTTTTTCAAATTTCAGTTCAGTTCATCTTTAAAATAATGAAAAGGGTAATTTAAGACACAAGGACTGGGGGACCCTGATATTGATGGAAATCCGTCGTACTCCCATAACGACGGATAACTTACATAACATACATATTGTCTCACATTTTTAAATACATGAAAATTGATTATGTAATATGCAATATATGTATTAGCACCGCATAATTATGTATGTTTTCAAATATACTGTTAAACCATTTATGATAAGATTTAATTTCTTTTTATTAGGGAACCCCAGACTGTTAATATAGTATAACATCATGTTTTTTTTTTGTTTTTTTTATCACTAATTAGTCCAGGAGATTGCATGAATGAAGTGAGTGATATTACATTACATTTTTTTTTAAATCATGATATTACACAATATTTAACTGTCACAATATTTAAGCAACATGACGGACCGCTTTTAGTCTTCGCATATTTGTCCTCCGACTGCAACTGTGCTAGCGCTAAACGCTTTCACCGGAAAAAAGTTTACCCTACTTCCGGTCTCAGTCGCCATCTTGTGAAATAGGCCTATGGCATAAATGCTACGTGGGATATCAATATCTCAGCTCAGGAAGGGTCTAGAGACTCCATTATTGCACTCAGGTCTAAGTCTCAAGGCCCTCTATCAGAATCCAGAGTTTTGAGAAGATCGAAGAAACTTAGTTTCTCGCCCCGAAAAAAATGTCAGGGGTACCCCTTTTAGTTTTTTCGTGTCAAAATTTTTAGTTTCTCTGATCTTCTTGAAACTCTGGATTCTGATAGACCCCGTTTACACCTGGTATTAAAATGCGATCTGTATCCAGATAAGTTATCCGGATAATAAAAAACGCATGTTAATGCAAGGTGTAAACGCATTGTGATCGGATCGTGATCAGATCTGCCTGACCACATCTGGAGGTAGTCTGGCTCGCATTGTGTCCGGATCTTTACTAGGTGTAAACGCAATCTGGTTGTTGAAACCACATATGTATATTTTACTCCTCCCAAAAATGCTAAAAAATAAACGAGTGAGAGCGTGTTATATAGGCTATATGTCATGTTATAGCCTAGTCAGATGCGACACGCGACACGCATCACCGCAGATGAGCAGCTGAGCGTCTATTCAACGTGCAAACATCGCAAATAAAAGTGAAAGTAAGTCACAGACGCAGTTAACATATCTTCAAGTAAAGAAACGAAATTATCTTACCAGGCCTGTTGCCACTCTCTCTTATTGATGTCTCTGATTTGGAAATTAGCTGATGATCAATAAAATGCCGCTCAGATCTGTTGCTTTTGGTGGCGTGCAATCCAATAAATCTGCATATAACGCAGGAGGTGAAGATCGGATTTATATCCGTTTTGCAAAAACACATTTATGTGGCCAGGTGTAAATGGAATCAGTACTTATTATCCGGATAACTTATCTGGATACAGATCGCATTTTAATACCAGGTGTAAACGGGGTCATAGAGGGCCATGGGACTTAGACCTGAGTGCAAAAATGGAGTCTCTAGACCCTTCCTGAGCTGAGATATTGAGATCCCACGTAGCATTTATCCTATTATAAATATAGTGGGTTCGCGGACGGTGGAATTTCGTGACGGCCCTTGGTGCCACAGACTCAGGGACCCCTGAGTGCAGTAAAATAGTTTTCATCCCAAAATTTTGAAAGCTAAGCTTAAAAACCACATGTCCACAAACCCACTATTTATCCAATAACCCACTATTTTTATAATGATATTACTTTACTTTATTTAGGACTCAACATGAAATGGCATATGGGATCTCAATATCTCAGCTCTGGTAGGGTCTAGAGACTCCATTTTTTGCACTCAGGTCTAAGTCCCATGGCCCTCTATCAGAATCCAGAGTTTCAAGAAGATCAGAGAAACTCAAAATTTCGACACGAAAAAGGCGGTGCAAAAAAAAAGTTTCTCTGGTGTATTTACTGGTACTTACAAAATGTAAACACACCTTAATGTTGCTTGCTTCTGTGTTTGGAGTGAAGTGCTGCCATGCTTCTCTTCAATGTAGAGATTTATATATATAATTACTACATGCAAAGCTTTGGCATTTGATTGGATGACAAACGTCCAATCTCATGGACTGCAGGCTTTAAACTAGGTGAAATGCTCCAGAAGATAAAAAAGGGGGCTGACATGTGATGTCCATTGTAATGGACACAGGGTCTGAATGGGTTAAACCACTGGAGTCTACCTTCCTGGGGCTTGAAAGTGGTAGTTGTGTAGCTGTCAATGGAGGGAGAATCTTTCATCAAAAAGATCTTCATTTGTGTTCTGAAGATGAATGAAAGTCATACAGGTTTGGAACGACACGACATGAGGGCAAGTAATTAATGACAAAGATTTTAATTTTGGGGTGAACTAAACCAATGCATTAGCCAACATGGACTAACAATGAGAAATAAATATATATTTACAGCATGCATTAATCTGTTAATCTTTGTAAAACATGTTATGGTTATGTCCACTGTTCAGTGACGAAGGATTTTCCTTTCTGTGTGAGCCATTCTTATAGCTGCATAATTCTTGTAACCCATATTTCTGTTTTTTCCAAAGGCTTGCTGTTCTGCAGAAGAAGAGGCTTTCCTAGCAAGCCTGTCTGGATATGTTATGATAAACGAGCACATTTGGCAGCGCTACGCACTTGGACTTTATTAAACGTCATCAGAATGTGTGTGTGTGTGTGTGTGTGTGTGAGCTCTAGCGAGGAAGAACGTGAGGATGTCGACTCCCCGAACCTCTGTCACAGATCCCGCTGGCTCGTGTCCACGCATTGGATCCGCTATTTAAAAGGGACTCTGCCGACAAACCCGTTACAAACCCAGAGAGCCTCGAGGAAACGCGTGAAACGGGCTGACGCGCTCCAAAGGGAAAACATCCCGGTGAGTAATACAGCCCTGTCCTTTCATGACTACTTTATAATAACCGTAGGCTGCTTACAAATATAAACATGTTTAAGTCGTGTCTAAATACAAAAACTTTAGTCATTATGAACTTTGATGTAGACTAGAACTGATTTTGCCCTTGTCTAGTTTTTTGTTTTAGATTTCATGGAAGAGATCTGATTTTGTAAATTCAACATTTCTTTGCGATCCAAATTTAGTCACAACCAACTACCGGTAACACTAGTTTAGGGTCCAATTCCCACTATTAACGAGTATGACAGTTATAAGTAATTATAAAGCACATATTAATGCTTTATATATTCTGCATGATAGCCTAGGCTAAATGCCTAAACTTAACAACTACCTTTCTAACTATTAAAAAGTAGCAATTGAGGTAAAAGTCGTAATTTTACAGTTGTAATTGAACCCTAATGTGTGACAGATGTTTCTAATAGTCAAGTCATATAGTGCTTTTAACAATTGTTTCAAAGCAACTTTTACAGTGATAATAGGACATTAAAGTAACATTGTTTTGGCTTCACAGCAGTCCAGCTAAAGTTAGTTTTGATTAATTCACTTCCGTTGCAAAGATCATTATTAACCGCTACCTCACACGACACCGAATAGTAGGCTATAAATAATAATATGTCATTGATTGAAAGGATGGTGTTTTGACTTTCTCCAATGTGCTTTCTACAGGTAACTCAGTTCCTGTGACTGTCGCAATGGATTTGGCGCAGAACGCCTCCGCTCTTTCATCGCAGTGGAGCAACAGAAGCGCGTTGCCCGGTGGAAGCGACAACAACGCGTACCTGTACATCATCATCGTGGTGTCCTTCTACGGAGTCTTCCTCATTGGGATCATGCTCGGTTACCTGCGCACCAAGCGGCGCGAGAAGCGTCGCTCGAACGTATTTACGCGGCTTCTGCACGAAGAGGAGCAACGCGAGTGGGGCGCGAGCCAGAAGAAGAACAGTCTCAGTCTTCCCGCATTTCCCGCGCTGCGCGCAACGCCGGTGCCGTTCATGCTCAACCCCGACCGCTCGCCTCTGGCGTGCGCGTTGTGCTCGGTGGAGCAGAGCAGCGTGAGCTCTCTCAGCTCCGTGGCAGATGTGCACTTCGCCATCGAGGAGGAGTCGGACAGCGGCGGAGGACCCGAGGATACACAAAAAACGGGCGTAGGATCGGACCACCACCCCGGGGGAAACCTCTGAGGTTCCCGCCAAAAACATGATTATGGCAACCAAAGTTCCCGCCAATAATACTTACCACAGTTTACGTTACTACAAATGAAACTGTTTGAAATTGGTTCTAGCCACCATTGTAATACAAAAATAAATTAAAGAACGTTTTTTTGAAAGTTTCTTGTACTGTTTTAAGAACATCCTGTGTTACTTCATTCTGGTTTTACTGTAAATAACTGTAGTAAAGTGGCAGGAACTGGTTACCGGCAAAAAAGTTCTCTAAAGTGCCTTGGCGGCAAGTACGAACTCTTTTACAGAAGAAACATACTTTTACACATGTACGAAAGCCAACGAAGTTTGTACATAGATAAGTGCACTATTGCGTTGCTGTGGCAGCAGTTCTGAACTTTACTTGTCATCTTTGTTGCATTGCTAGCTTCACTGGCAAATCTCATTGAAAATATCGACGCAATTGACTTTAGTGGCTCAGCAAAATTATCTTCAAAAGCATTAATCGGCCTGAAAAAGGAAATGAACTGGAGAAAGAGGCTGATCAAACTAATGTCCTGTAGCGCCCCTTGTGGCAACACTGAATGCAACGCGTAGGCTACACGTTGGATTTGACTTGGAATACATACAATGACAGGAAATTGAACTTGTGTTACTAGAAGCCTCTTCACGTATTTGTGTAAAGTATGTTTCAGGCCTTAAACGCGATGTAACCACTGCAAACATTGCGATAAACCTGGAATCACTTGAAAAAACAACAACTTTAAAATCATTTTACTTACTAAAGGTCTATATCGTCTTCCACGGGGTTGTGTAAAATGATTTAAAATGTTACAATTAGTAGGCCTATGTAAAATGATATGTATATATTGTTCTACATGCATGGATGTCTCTATTTAAATGTTATCTTATTGTGTAAACTAAATAAAATGTTCTTAATGTGAAGGTTTTATGCCTGTTAATGTTTGCACTTACCGATTATCGCCACTTGAGGGAGTCAAAGACCGCAAGGTATTTTTCTCAGACTCATCATAACAGATTTTTACACACAAATCCTAGTTAATCACATAAGAAACACAGTTGAAGTCATTAAATCATTAAATACATTTGTGAACTGAAACCCTGTTCATAATTCTGAAGCCCTTTGTCGAGGAGAATAGAAGAATATAGCTTGTGTGAGGCATAGCGTCATTAAAAAGATAGAGATTTCAATCGTCCACTCCTGAAACATTTTTCATCTTATTAATCCCCTTGAGCACGGGCTGAGGTTCACTCTGGGACAAAGGGGGTTTTGCTACTTTCATGATTGAGCTCTTTTACATAGATCTGCATGATTATAATAACCCGAATCCTTCATCATAATAATCAGTCTTTGTTGTCCTAATAAAATGACATCACATGCACAAGTGTCAGTGACCCGTCTTCCGCCCCAGGGAGTGCAGTGGAAACTTCGTCTGAGTGGATCTTTTCCAATAAAAACGTCCTCAGTTCATCTGACGTGAGTTGGACACAGTATTAGGAAAGTTTTTAGAGAAAAATGTTCAGATTTTGACACCGATGTCAACCTGTTGGGCCTGTAAAAATTGAAAACGAGCTGTTTCGTTTCGTCTTATCCAGTTACATATAAGACTTCCGAACAAAACGCAGCATGTGAATAATTTACTGAATCCTTTTTGCTCTATCAAAGATCATGAATTATAAACCATGTCGTGAAAATCAGATTCTGATCTCTTTTTTTCTGAAAACAAAATAAACAGACGCGACTGCCTGTATTACGTTTGTATGGTCCAGCTTGTACTCCCAACTAGATTCATTTTGATGAAATGATTGGACTGTGTGAAAGACCGAAGAAAGGTTAGTGTGTGACTCATACTCCCTGTAGAGGAAATGAAAAGCATAGCCTCCCTCTCTCTTTGTTTCTCTGAAACATCTACGGCATGAACGGAGAAATCAGGATCCGTTTGATTATTTCTGTGCAACAGTAACTTGAATATGACAGCAGTGACTGACCTGGAAACAGCTCTTTTTAAGTGTTTATTTATTTTTGCAATAATGTGATATTGCATTTTTTGGAGCTTAAGGGGATCATTGGTTCTTGCAGAAGCTCAAAGTGATCCGCAACATGAGAATGAATCTCATTGGTTCTTGCTGAAGCTCAAAGTGATGCGTAACACGAGAATGAACCTCATTGGTTCTTGCTGAAGCTCAAAGTGATGCATAACATGAGAATGAACCTGATTGGTTCTTGCTGAAGCTCAAAGTGATGCATAACATGAGAATGAACCTGATTGGTTCTTGCTGAAGCTCAAAGTGATGCGTAACACAAGAATGAACCTCATTGGTTCTTGCTGAAGCTCAAAGTGATGCATAACATGAGAATGAACCTGATTGGTTCTTGCTGAAGCTCTGTGATGCACAACACGAGAATTAACCTCATTGGTTCTTACAGAAGCTCAAAGTGATGCGTCACACAAGAATGAACCTCATTGGTTCTTGTTGAAGCTCAAAGTGATGCGCAACAAAAGAATGAACCTCATTGGTTCTTAAAGAAGCTCAAAGCGATGCGCAACAAGAATGAACCTCATTGGTTCTCACACGTCAAGTGAACATGTTTGAGCTTGTTTGCCACAAGATGTGTGTGTTATTGAATGTTTATATGTGAATAAAAGCCTAAATTCAATCTGTTTAACATAAGTGGTCGAATCTCTTCAGAAATGTTTTGAGAAAACCGCTCAAATCATATGGATTAGTTTTACGATATCTTTATGAACTTTTTGAAGCATTAAAGTGGTAGTTGTATAGCTGTCAATGGAGGGACAGAAAGCTCTCAGATTTCATCAAAAAGATCTTCATTTGTGTTCTGAAGATGAATGAAAGTCTTACGGGATTGGAAAGATATTAGGACGAGTAATTACTGACAGAATTAGCTATTATCTAGTATTCCTTAAAGGAATGGCTCATGCAGAAATTAAAAGCTTTTATCATTGAACTATTTTTTTTTTTTTTTTTTTTTACAAAGATTAACAGATTAAAACAAGTTTCACTTTATGGCAGTGCCCTCAAATTTGTCTCTCTTTGCTCACTGATTCACACTGACATTTAATGCTAAAATTTACAAAGTAAATCCCTAATAAATAAAAAAAACTTTTTTCCCTCGGTCTCTTTCTTCTCTGACCTTTAAGACTTTCCATTTAATGGAAATGTATGTGGCTTGCGATGTTTTAGACGGCAAACAAACTTGTCGATGTGAATAGTCAGATGTATGTAGAAAGATCAAGAGTGCCAATAATATTGAGCAGCATATTGATAAGATGCACACACTGACCCAAACCATCCTCTGAGGAGTCTGAACACACAAATGTTTCATGTCTCCCTGCTCTTAATGAGAGTTTCTATGGCAACAGGTACAAGAGAAAGGGCTTAATTTATCCGGATATCCGGATGGTGCCAGTGAGGGGACGTGTTGATGTGTGCTAAGCACATAAACATTGAAACATGTAACATAAACTATTTTGTTTATAGGGACAAAGCATGTTAAAGGAGTAGTTCACTTTAAAAAAAAACTTTTGCTGATAATTTACTCACCCCCATGTCATTTAACATAAACTATTTTGTTTATAGGTACAAAGCATGCAAAGGATTAGTTCACTTTTAAAAAAAACTTTTGCTGATAATTTACTCACCCCCATGTCATCCAAGATGTCCATTTCTTCCTTTCATCAGTCGAAAAGAAATGAAGGTTTTTGATGAAAACATTCCAGGATTTTTCTCCATATAATGGACTTCAATGGGAACCAAACAGTTCAAGGTCCAAATTAGAGAAAAGACACCAGACAATGAACAAGGGCCTTATCAAGTGAAACGATCGGTCATTTAAAAACAAAATAAGAAAGTTTTATAAGCACAAATGGTCACCTTGCCCTGTACTGTGTGACTCTCCTGTTCGAACTCGTTCATCAAAATGAACGAATCTTTTTCCGAGTCAATTCGTTCATTTTGTTCGTTGAATGAACCAAATGACTCGAAAAAAGAATTTGTTCATTTTGACCCACATCGACCTGCTCAAACCAACAGATCAATGTTTTGAAAGCATCAGATTCACAGTATTTCACTCTTCAGGCAACTTATATGGCAAGTCTGAACATAAAACTGAAGTATGATTAAGAAATTTAACTAAAAATTGCAGCTATGGGCAAGAAACCACTAAAAACCTTTATTAAAACTTTATAGGTTTTTACTCACTGATTAAAGGGTCTCTCTACCTCTGGAAAGTTGAATGTGTAGTTAAAACGGGTCATTTATGTAGAAGAAATGTGAAATTATTTTTGATTTTGGAGCTTTCTAGACTGAGAAAAGACAGAAAATGTATTTTTGGCTTATGTGGATGAAAGACAACAACTCCCAGAATGCACTTGCTTCACTGCCCTAGGAGGCCACGCCTATCGGTAACAGAGCGCAGTAGTTAAACAACAAGTCTAGGTTACTAGTGAGTCTCCGTGATGAGTCTGCCCGAAAATGTGTTTCGAGATCGCCCAAAATGTCCGGGATTCCAACATGACATCATGACTTTTGCGTAAACATACACGCCAATTTCGAGTCAAGTGGCGTGTTATCTCGACGCATTTTGAGCTATCCGCGTGTATCCGCGTGTATGCCTACGCCATTAACGTCCACGTCATTCCGCGTGTCTGTACAAATGTCTGAGCAAAACAAAGCAAAATATACATCTACATCTGGGGAGCGATCTTTTTCTTTCCTAGGATGGTAAGGGAACAGTCATAAATGCCATTAACCCCAGTGATGGTTAGGTTTAGGGACGGGGTTAAGGTAAGTCATATATTTATATATACAGTAATAACGTTAAGTCAACGGCGTTCATAAACATGCTGAAAAGCGATTATGCGTGTTGATAGCACGCCAAAAATGGAAATACGAATTGGCGTGTCATACACACGCTACTTCATGAGATCAGTTTGGGGATTCGGCTTTTGCGTTCCACAGTCGCCGTGAGGGAGTTCGATGTGAGACGCACCGGTCTCGTATCTCTCACGGAGGAGCGGGAATTTTCTTAGCAATCTTAAAACGCACATCAACCGATCACTTGTTTAGCGTTCATGTAAACACTACATTCAGATTCACCAATGGAATGAATTCAGTTAGTCTGAAACAAAAGCTGTGTATGTAAACAATGAATGGCGACTGCAGAAAGCAAAAGCTGAATACCGGACATCGACGGTCGGACATGTCGGGAAAAAGAGGATGGTAACCCCTACTCAGCTTTCTCCACAGAACAAGAGCCTGCTAGCTTAGCTTCCAAAAAAGATGGCCGACACTATCTGTAATCCCAATCCTCCATAATGCATCAGTCTGCGTATTCAGTAGCTTCGTCCTTATTTCCAAAAAGTTTCTGCCGGTGAAATCAAACGCACTGGCACTGATCTGTGATAGGTCTGTTAGCACATTAGGCCCAACCCTCTATGGGCAGGTTTGAAAGGGTGGGATCTAGTACTTTTTACAGAAATCCCCTCTCTTAAAGGGTTAGTTCACCCAAAAATGAAAATTCTGTCAGTATTTACTCACCCTCATGTTGTTCCAACCCCGTAAGACCTTCGTTCATCTTCGGAACACAAATTAAGATATTTAGGATATTAAAATCGCTCCTGCATACAGTCCATAGGCTTCTTGAGGGACTGGCTCTTGCTGTCCTCGAAAAGTAATTGAAGACATCGTTAAAATAGTCCAAGTGACTACAGGGGCTCAATCTTAAGTTTATCAAACGACGAGAACACTTTTGTGCGCAAAAAAACAACAAAAATAACGACTTTATTTCAACTATTCGTTTATTTCTCCCTCTGCGCGAGTCAGCTAACTAGTTTAATAGCGTAAGCTTCTGTTATTGTACGTCACACGCATCACACACACATGACCAGCGTCGACCAATAGTG